TTGTTATCTTCTGTGTTTTTGATGAAAACAATTGTAACAGGTGTCAGGTGATATCTCATGTTTTTAATTTGAATTTCCCTAACAACTAGTGAGATTGAGTATCTTGTCATGTACCTATGGCGTTTCATATACCTACTTTGGAAAAATGCCTATTCAGGTTTTTTTTGCCATATTTTAGATAATTTGGGGTTTTATTTCCTTTTTTTTTTTGCTATTGAGTCATATACGTTTTTTTTTTTTACCTCTTTTGGAGATTAGACCCTTACCAGATATACAGTTTTCAAATATGTTTTTTCATTCATTCTGTATGTTGCATTTTCACTTCATTGATGATTTCTTTTGCAGTGAAAAAGCTTCTTAGTTTGATGTAGTTTTACATGTTTATTTTTTAATTTGTTGCTTGTGCTTTAGGTGTCATATCCCTCCAAAAAAATCATTATCAAGACCTATACCAAGGAACTTTATTCCTATGTTTTCTTCTAGGAGTTTCATGGTTTTAGGTTTTACATTTAGGTGTTTATGCACATTGAGTTAATTTTGTGAGTAGTGTAAGATACAGGTTCAGTTTTAATCCTTTATATGTGAATACTTATTATCCCAGCAGCATTCAGTGAAAACACTCTCTTTTCTCTATAGAGTATTCAACACAATTATTCAATTTTTGTTGATCTGAAAATATCTTAATTTTTCCTTTATTTTTTATAAAAGTAATTATATATTTTAATTTTATTTTTGTACTAATGTTTTATTTTTCCATTACTATTTAATCAGCTCTAACCCTTCCCCCCTGCAATCACCACATTGTTGTCCATGTTCATGAGTTCTTTTCCCTTTTTGCTCAATCCTTCTCCCCCCTTTGCTGTCATCCTGCTCTCTATCTATGGGCCTGCCTCTATTTTTGCTTCTTAGTTCTGTTTGTTCACTAGATTCCACAGATGAGTGAGATCGTATGGTATTTGTCTTTCTCTGACTAGCTTATTTTACTTAGTATAATGTTCTCTAGGTTCATCCATACTATCACAAAAGGTAAAACTTTCTTCTTTTATGAACGAGTAGTATTCCACTGTGTAAATGTCTCATAGTTGTTTTATTCACTCATCTCCTGACGAACACTTGGGCTGCTTCCATCTCTTGGCAATTGTAAATAATGCTGCAATGAACACAGGGGTGCTTATGCTCTTTTGAATTAGTATTTTGAGTTCTTTCAGATAGATTCCCAGAAATAGGACTGCTGGGTCAAAAGGCAGATCCATTTTTAATTTTTTGAGGTATCACTATACGGCTTTCCAACCCGCCACACCCTGTGTCATGTAAGCCCTACCGCTGAGGAGTAAGATGGAAGACCTTCACTCCTTAAGCCTAACAGAAAGCCCGCAGACAGAGGTGAATATCTGGGAGGTCTGAGGCTTGAGCTGACCCTCTTTTGAGCCCAGTGCTGGTTAAAGCCAGCCTTACTGTGCAGCCTCATTTTTCCTGCACAACAGGCCCAGCAGAGGGAACCACATGCTATAGATCACTGATAGCTCCAAACACGTTACCTAGGGCCAGTCCCAGGCAGGGTTTTTACAGGTCTGCCTGATACATAGAAACACACACAAAGAGGCAGCCAAGATGGAACAACAAACAGGCCCCGGATGAAAGAATGAGAGGACTCTATAGAAGAAAAACTAGATAAAATGGAGATGAGCCACCTGTCAATTTTTTTTGCTTTTAAAAGATGATTTTGCAGGATAAAGAACTTTAGATTGGTGTTCCTTTTCTTTTTTCCTCAAAAATTTAAGTATTTCACTCCACTTTCTTCTTGCTTATCTAGTTTCTGAGAAATTGCCTGTAATTCTTATCTCTGTTCATTTACAGGTAAGGTGTTTTTCCTCTGGCTTCTTTCAGATTTTTTCTTTTCTTTGATTTTCTGAAGTTTAAATGTGATATATCTAGGTAAAGCTTTTTTTTGACATTTATTTTGCTTTGTGTTCTCTGAGCTTCTTGCTTTCTGGTTTGGTGTCTGACATTAACTTAATTCGTAGTCACTATTGCTTCAAATATTTCTTCTGTTCTAATCTCTCTGCTCATCCTGATATTCTCATTATATGTATGATATACTTTTGTAATTGTTTAAAAGTTCTTGGTTATCCTGTTCTGGTTTTTCTTTTCAGTCTCCTTTTCTCTTTGTTTGTCATTTTTGGAAGTTTCTATTGCCATATCCTCAAGCCCAGAGATTATCTCCTCAGTCCACTAGTGTGCCCATCAAAGCATTCCATACCTCTATTACAGTGTTTTTGATTCTTAACATTTTAAAATTCTTTCCTAAAATTTCCGTATCTCTATGTACATTATCTATCTGTTCTTACATGTTGTCTAGTTTTTCATTAAAGTCCTTAACATGTTCAACATCGCTCTTAATAAAAACTGGTCTGATTGACAATTCCAATATTGTACTATAACTGGTTCTGGTGCTTGATCAGTCTATTTAAACTATGTTCTTGCCTTTTGTAAGAAGGCAAATTGTAACTAAAATCCCAAATTGTAACTAATTGCTATTGTAATTTTGAAAGGTGAATATGTTGTGCTGGATAAAAAGAACCGTCATAAATAAGCCTGTAGTAACATAGTAGCAAGAGGCGTGTGCGTCAGGGAACATTCTACTGTTTTATGATTAGATAAGCCTATATAACTCCGGCCTGTGAACTTCACCAGTACTTCTTTGTCCCTCCTCAAAGCTTAGGTGTGGTAGGATGGCTAGAGGAGGCAGAAGTTATATATTTTTCTTCCTTAATGTAGAAGGCTAGAGGCAGCTGGAGGGCGTATTTCCTTTTCTTCACATAGAAACCTAGAGACAGCTAAATTTGGTAACTTCTCTTCCCTCAGGTAGATTAGACTCTGACAAAATCCCAGCAGATTATGCTCTGGTAAAGTACTGCCTCCTGCAGGCAGGATTTGTTAGGAACAGACTGACCTGTTGTGTTTGAAAGTGGTTCCTTCTGTTGTCCCCCTGCTGGAGGCTGGGAGGATTTGTCTTTCACATTCATTACAAGGACCTGGCAGAGCTCCTGGAGGTAAATCTCATAATATTGTGGCGGCTTCCCTATGCCTTGGTCTCAGATGGGTTTTTAATTCTCAGGCTTGTCTACACTGAACCTGTAGCAATTCATTGATTACAGTTTAGATTTTTCTATCCCGACAGTGGTTTGCATGGGTTTCTGATCTAGTAAGTTGTGGTTTTCTATATCTGTCTATTTCTCTGATTGCGATGGTTAATTTTACATCTCAGCTTGACTGGCTATGGGGTACCTGGGTTACACATCACTCGGGATATGTCTTTGAGGGCGTTTCTGAATAAAATTGGCATTTGAATGAGTGCACTTACTGACTTGTCCTCCCCAGTGTGAGTGAGCATCATCAGAGCCACTGAGGTCCTGAGTGGAACAAAAGGCCTCATGGTTTCTAGTGTTTTCTAGAATTTAGAACTTGTGAGCAATAAAATAGAATATTTGAAGAGCTCTCTAAGCAAAGTATTAAAAGAGTAGCCTGGTTCTTGCTTACAGTAAAAATGTGACAGGAAAGAAATATTTTGAAATGAAATTGTTAAGCAAAAAGAACCAGAACGTATGGACTTGGAAAATTTTCTGCTTATCCTTATTGAAAAGAAAATGAGAAAGTGTGTTCCAAAGAGAACACTGAGGGTGTGCCCAAGAGACCGTTTAATAAGGATATTAATGTGACTATGAACCGTGGAACTACACAGTCACCTCAACAGAACTGGCAGGCACTGTTCTTCAAGACAAGGGGAGAATGACACTCTCTCCCCTACCAAGGAGATTAGAGATCGTCAGGCTGCCGTGTCCACCACAATCCCAAAGTGAAAGGGCCCAGGCAAAGGTGGGGGCTACATCTGTAGCTCAGGTAGGCTCTGACGACCCTGTTTAGTGCTTTGGTGGAGGAACAGAGCCACCACAGACGTATGGCAAGGGCAGTCTTGGGGCCGATGTTGCTATTTTACAGGTCCAGAAGTCAGAACACTGAACAAGGAGGATTATTCTCAAGTTCAAGGGTTAGTGTTATTTGCCCTGTTAGGTTTTAGACTTACTTGGAACCCATTAGCCCTTTCTTATTTCTACATTTCGGGCATGATAGTATCTATCCTATACCTAGCCTACCTTTGTTATTTTGGAAGCACATAACTTATTTGGTTTGACAGGTTCATAGCTGGAGAAGAGCTTTGCCTCAGGATGAGTCATCTCGTGAGTTTCCCGTCTGAGTTTTATATATGTGTGACTTTGAAATTAGATGTTAGAGTTAATGTTAAAATGAGTTAAGACTTTGGGAGTTGTTAAGATGTAGTGAATATATTATGCATTAGAGAAAGACATGAATTTTGGGAGGCCAGGGATAGAAACTTATGTACTGAGTATTGCATCCACTCAAAATTTATGCTGAAATCCTAACCACCTGTGTGGTGATATTAGGAGATGGAGTCTTTGGGAAATTGTGAGGTCATGAGGTTGAAACCTTAATGAACAGGATTAGTGTCCTTGAAAAAGAGAGCCCAGAGGGTTCTCTTGCCTCTCCCCACTATGTGTGAACCAGGTGGCAGGCTCTCAACAGACATCCAATTTGTGGGCCCTGGATCTTGGTCTTTTCAGCCTTCAGAATTGTGAGGAATAAATATGTGTTTTTTAAGCCACCCAGTTTATGGTATTTTTGTTAGAGCAGCCCAAACTGGGCAAGGAGGCAGTGGATTACCCTGTGCACCCTCACTGCTCTGGTGGATCTGAGAAGCGTTGTTGATTTTTCAGATTGTTCAGCTTTTAACTCGTTATTAGGACCCAGTGGCAACTTCTAAGCTCCTAACATGCTAGCCTAGAAACCAGAAGTTTCTGCTGAAAGTATTTTTTAGAAACATATTTTGTAAGGTCTGCAAAGATTGTATTGATAAACTAGTACCAGATTATTAGTATCCAGAATACTAAAATTTATTCAAATGCATTTATATAGTACCCACTGAGTTTTGTATTGAGGGCTCTGCACCTGTACAAATTGCAACAAAAACCAAATATAATGACCAATTCCAAGGACTTAGATGGAGGCAGAACACAAGGAAATCTGTAACCACTGTTTTAGAAAGAAAAAAGAGTTCCAAACCTAATCTGAGAAAGAACATATTTTGAATGATGTAATTCATGTCCTGTTGGAAGGATGTATTAGTCCTCATTAAATTGTAAATAAATTTCCTATAAGTTATAGTGGATGAAAATTGGTTCTGGGGATTCAAATCACCTGCCATCCTGATAACTATTAGACAAGAGTCTGGTGGTCTTTAACCAAACATTCTTTTTTTTCCTTTTAACTGTAAAATTTCTTACTAAAAAAAAGAATCTTTAAATTGGCCAGTATCTCTCATAGGCCTTTTTATACAGCAAAGTTAAAATAAAATTTTGACACATGCTCACAATGAAGTTGTCTGAAAAGCTTCCTTTAACATTGCAGTAGAAAATTACTAAGAGTTGTAAAGGATGTTAGCACACGGATTGGACAGCACTTGAATTTCAGATGTATGAGTGGGTGGGTGGAGGTGGGACAGGATTCCTCCCTAAGGGACATCTAAATACTACAGAATAAGTAGAACAAGGTGGAGCAGAGAGGTGGGAGGAGTGTGGTGCACAGGTCTGTGGCTGCCTGGCCAGCGTCCTGGAGCCTGCCCTTTCCCTCGTTCTTCTGGGCACTCCCCTGCACCGCCACCTGGGAGACACCCTGCCCCACCCTCCCCGGAGACGCCGTTTTTCTGTCTTTTAAGAAATGCTGCTAAAAAGCTAGAGAGAAAGAACACCCCTAAGAGCAGCCCTCAACCAATGACAGAGTGAAGCAGTTGATACGTAAGTGCCTGGTTTCTTCTCTCCTCAAGTGGGATAATTTTAGTGTGTTTTACCATTGCATTTCCCCAGGAATCCAGCTCCAGGCACCCTGTGAGCCCTGGGTTCCTTTTCCTGTGCCATTTCCCTCTCCCTACAGGTGTTTTCTCTGCCGCCAAGATGAAGTGCTTACACTCCGCCCTTGTCACAGAGTCTGCTCTGAGGAATCTGGACAGAGCAGTCCCTGGAGCAGAACTACAAGGAGCTGAACCATGGAGAGAGTGTGTAACACACAAAGAAGTAAAAGCAAGGTTGGGTCAGGGTATTAAGTGTCCTGGTTTGCCAGATTTAGCATTTAAAAATACAGGACACACAGTACTTATTGTTTAATTTCAGATAAACAGCTTTTGATTTTTAGTATAAATATGTCCCAATTTAAAGTAAAAAATATTCATTCTTTACCTGAGATTTAAACCTAACTGGGTGTCCTGTATTTTATCAGGCATTGCCAGAGATGGAGAAAGGATTTTGAGCTTTATCTGTAGGACACTTGGGCTCCAGTGTGGAGCATGGATTTGAGCAAGGTCAGGCAGACCAGAGAGGAAGCCTATCCCAGCTGAGGTGAGGCCTGGAGTGGGCTGTCAGGGAGATGGGGGAAGGGCATTTGGGAAGCTGTCTGCCCTTCTCAGACTAGGGCCAGGGCAGCAGAACTAGCTCACTGGAGAGGATGGGAAAAGATTGTTCAAGATATCCTGGAAATGCCCTCTACTGTTTAGAGAAAGACACCAGGTTAGCAGCGCAGGGTGTCTCTTTCCCCCTCCTGCAGGCACTTGCACCTGTGAAGTGAAGCTGCCTTGCTTGGACTCAAACACCTGGCCCCTGCATCAGGCAGCACAGGAGCTTTGGGGCTAACCTTCCCCAGCTGCACTCGAAGGCGCTCAGCTCAGAAAACCCGTCAGCAGAGCCTCCAGGAATAATCATCAGCTGTGAGTGGCAAGGAACACTAAGAAGAAGGAAATTCCCTTTTTTGGAGCCTCAAAGAGAAAAGAGCTCATTTTCTCTTTGTTGTTTTCCCTGAGATGGACCTTGCCTTGTGTGGTAACCCCAGCCATGAGGCTTGTCTCGAAAAATTTGTTCTCATCCTGGAGATGAATAGGAAGCACGTTCAGAATCACACAGCCATCTCTGCCTGAAGAACTCTTCAATTTCACTGCCACCTTCATGAAGGAAATTCCATTCTGCTGGGAATCCACTTCAGAAACAACATACTGAAAAAAGAAAGAAGAAAAATAAAATCCATTATGACAACGATAGGCTCTTGCTTCAGCTTTGTTCCATTTCTTCTATTTGTGAAATGCACACCGAAGGCCATTAGGGGACATCATATAAATTGCTTCACTCCAAAGTTAAAGCAAAAGGAAAAAAAAAAAACCGGTACCAAAATGAAAACGGGGTTTTGTTCATTTTCTAAAACCTGAATTTGACTGTAGCTTTTTTTTCTGAAAGTTTGAAAAGGCTATTTTTTCAAACTAAGTTATAGCTACTTGCATCAGACATTAGGAAGGCATGAGTGGGTAGTTAGAAATCCCCTTTCTCCCGGCACTCACCCAGGCACACGGACACTGCAGCAAAAGCGCCTCCTGTGAGCCGAGCCCCCGGCACGCGTTCGGCCATCTGCGGGAGTCAGGTTGCCATCCCAGGAGCTCTGTGCTGAGGATCATTTCAGTTATTTACATACCGTACATATTTAATTCTTGTAATAACTTTATAGGGTAGATATTCTCCTCTCCACTTTAGAGTTATAGAAACTGAGGCTCAGGAAGGTTAAATAACTTTCCGAAGTCAATAAGTGAGAGTTATGGTCAGAACAGTGTTCCTTCAAAATTTGTATGTTGAAGTCTTAACCTCTAGGATCTCAGAATGTAACTGTATTTGGAGATATGGTCTCAGGAGGCCTCAGGAGAAACCAACCCTGCCAACTTCTTGATCTTGGACTTCTAGCCTCTGAAACCATCAGAAAACCAATTCCCATTGTTTTAAGCCACCCAGTCTATGTACTTCATTATGGTAGCCCTAGTAAACTAATGATAGTGACCAACCCAGAATTTTCACCTGGTCTGCAGTTCCCCTGAAATCTTTTTTCATCAGGGCGTCAGGTCTAAGAAGAAATGGGGTTAAGAGGAAATTTATTTTACTTAACTTCCAATATCCCAACGCAAACTGGGGTTTAGCACAAGCTGACCAAGTTATCCAGGATGTCCCAGCCTAGTGGTCATGCTGGTGATGTGGTGACGTGGGCGTTCGGGGAGAGAGGACAAGAAGGTTCTAAGCAGTAACAACTCAAACTCAGAAGATAAGGTGGTAGCATTGTTCCTGCAGGAAGTCAGTTTATTTAACCAGGCCCCAGACCATGACTAGAGTCTGAGACAGAACCCAGTCCCTGCCATGTAACCCAGCACAGGGGACTGGGAAAAGTGTAGTGTGGGGCCTGTGCACCCTCTCTCCCACCAGATTTCCAAATACTGTGCTGGCGCCTTGATGACTAAAAGGTCAGGCCCTTCACTGGTCCAGCAGAGATTTCCTGGGGTGGGGCAGGACAGGGCAGAAATGGGCAGAAATGGGCAGAAATGGGCCTAGGCCCGGGGACCCAGACAAGCTCCCCAGAATGCTGATGAGGGCCACAATGAACTGTTCCTTCTCAAAAGTTTTAGTACCTCCCCAGTGAGAGCAGGGAGCAGTTACCCATGGAATCCTGTTTGCTTAGATGAGACTTTGAATGAATGGGGGCTAGCTTCGAATAGAAACGACTACGTCTCTCTGACTTCCAAGAACAGAGACTGATTTTCTCTACCTGCTCCCACCACCCTCACAAGTGAGGTTTCTCAGCCCTGCATCCTAAGTTCATAAATCCCTCTTTTGCCATTTTCATTTGTTCTTTTACTTACCAAACACCCAAAAAACATTATCATATGTTTGTAATTTGACATCTGTGATATTCAGGCTATCCAAACCTCAGGGTTCAGAGCAGGGGACCTTTCTGCCCAGGTTTAAGGACTTTACTGGGCCATATAGCTCTCTAGAGAACTGAAGTGCAGAACAAAACATGGAGACAGAAATGGTGTTGACTTTGACCAGACCCTTCGGGCAGGCACTTTCAGCATGGAATACCTAAGCTTTCCATACACAGAGGCCCAGGGCTTGCTAAATACTGAACCTAAAACTACCTCCAATTCCACTCCACCTCACACTGTCCTCACTAGCAGAATAAAAACTCCTAATGTCCCTGTTCAGTCCTGTGATGGTCAGAACCAATCAAAATTGACTCCACAGTTTCATCAGTGATGGCTTCAGTGTCTTCAGCAATCTTCTTTATGCCAGAAGAATCTAACCCTAGAATGGGGGACTATCTGGAAATGACTCCAAAGTGTACCAAATAAAAAAGAGGATTTGTTTGCCTACTGCCACAAAGCCAAACTCATGAGCCAGTTGCTGGAGAGAAAAGAAAGAGGCTTTTTATTCAGATGCTACATTATCTGAGAGAATGGCAGACTCTTGTCTCAAAGACCATCTCCTCCACAAAATCCAGACGAAGTGCAAGCGTCCTCAGCAAGACCAAAACAAAAGGCAGTGTCCAGAATTCCTGTTGCCATTTGAAACACAGTCCTTTGGAGACGGTAGGTCAGCAGTCCCCAACCTTTTCAGCGTCAGGGACAGATTTCATGGAAGATGGGGGTAAAGGGGAGACGGAGCTCAGGCAAGCTTTGCTGGTTCTTTCACTCTCTGCTCGCTCACCTCCTGCTGTGGGGACGGTGGGGCCAGGGCAGAGACAGGAGGTAGAGCTCAAGGGAGTTTTGCTCATGGCCTGGTTCCTAACAGGATACAGACCTTACAGGTCCTAGGTCTCAGGGTTGGGGACCCCTGACACAAGTGCCTGCTAGGAGTCATCCCTGCAGCTTAGCTTGTTCCTGACTGCAGTCTGCCTCAGGCTCCCTGCTGGAACCTGGAGCCATTTCAACCAATGACCCTTGTGACCCTGCAGGCTAGGGCCACTAGGTGGCACAAATGCATTGGCCAGTATATTCACCAGGTGAGTGAGAGAGCATTACTTTGTACCTTTGGGTCTATATCAGCTTGGGTGTGGGACTGGTGCTTTCTGGTGCTTTCTCATGCTTCATATGGGTCCATCTCCCAACCAATCCCTTTTGCCTCAGGCTAGACTGACAGGCCTCTCTGCTTCAACACCTCCCCTGCTGCCATTTTAACTCCTATTGTGTGTGTACCTGCCTTATCCTAGTCCCATCCTCAATCTGGCACGCTAAGAGGCTAGGAGAGCATTTTTCTCTGTTCAATTATTATGATAGTTATACCTACGCAGTGTAAGAAATTCCTCTGCAATCTTGGCCAGGGAGATCTCCCCTGGTGCTCTATCAGCTCTGCACTGGTGTGAGGCATTGACAAGGCATGACTTGGTTACCTGGGCAACATGGCCCCACAGTCCTGCAGATATGCAGCCTGGGGCTGCATTGTAAAACACAATGTCCTTGTTATGGCCCCAGGCAGTTTGCAAGGCATTGACCAGCTCCAGGCCCTGAGTACTCAAACCTCTGACCTTCATCCCCCAGGAGCATGGCTCAGCGTACAAGTAGCTGCTAGGCTACTCCCACGGCCCAGCTCTATCTGCCCTGGTGGCCCCGACCGCAGTCCAGTCCCAGTCTATCGGTATCAAAAGTACTAAGATACTGAAACCACTCTCTCAAAGATCCTGGTGGGTCTGAGCTGGAGAGCGAACAGTGAAACACCCATAGTCTTGAGTTAATAAGTTGAAATTGACCAGAATAGCCTTTTCTCACAGTTATTATAGAGTTATATTAAACACAGAGCATTTCTATTAATATATGCAGCCTCCACATGCAAACACATGCATTCCTTAGAGGTGGGGTCTCTAGGGTGGGTAGCTGCATTGGTCCATTGCTCACCTTGTAGTTATGGATGCTTTCTCTCTTCCAGGAAATTGCCTGGATTGTTATCATCAGTCAAATCATATTGGCAGAGTCAAGTGGGATTCAGAGTCTCTAGACAGAACCTCAACTTTCAAGTGTGGGGAGAACAGAGAAAAGGCAAGGACCCCTGCATTGAAAGCAAGGGCATTCAGCCATTGAAGCCTGGGGTTCTGCTGTCCTCAGTGAAGAGCATCTTTCTATGACTATTTCTAGAACTACTGCTCCTCACACTCTTGTTATTATTGGTTATATACAAATTAGTTTGGCCTCATACGTAATGTGGGAAAGCTGAGGTGGCTCTCACCTACAGCAAGCAGCCTGTGTACACTGGTATTGATGCCAGAACTGGCACCTATCATCTTAATTCGTGTAATCATATACTCTACATACTCAATATTGTTGATTATATAGAAAATACACACAAAAATGCTTCTGTATTTCAGCTGTGTGTAGTTTCCATCTTTTGCTAATAAGTCATGCAGAACCAGAGAATCCATGAATATTGGAGTTATAACCAATAGTCAGATGTCACCTGAGCCAAAGTACCACCTGATAAGGAAACTCTACTGTCATGCAGCAACCACCCCTGCTTCAATAATTTTTTAAAAAAAATCCTTGCCTGAGGATACATTTATTGATTTTAGAGAGAGAATAAAAGAGAGAGAGATAGAGGAACATTGATGTGAGAGAGAAACATTGATTGGTTGCCTCCCGTACGCTCCCTGACCAGGAACCAAACGCACGACCTTGTGGTGTGTGGCACGCACTCTAACAGACTGAGCCACACCAGCTGTGGAGCTTCCTCACTATCTATAGTATCAAAAAGTTCAATGCTTTTTGAAAAAACCTACTCTCATTGTTACACAGCTGTAAACAAGAATGTTTCTGTGTCTTTTGTTTTCCAAATTGAGTTAAAATTTATCCCATAACATCCAGGCTCTCTTCTCAGCTCCACCCTCCTAGTTAGGATCCAGTGAGTCTGGTGCGCATGGTCCCAAGTCAGCGGTTCTCCAAGTGTGGCTGTCGGAGCCTCCAACCCTGTTCTCTGGACCCATCCCTCCCCGACCTCCAGCAAAGCCGTTCCACTGTCCTGTGCTCTTCTCATTGGGATCCTGCGTGAGATTTCACTTTCAGAATGGGCTCTCATGTCCCATCCAAAGGCTCTTCTGCCTGGTCCCATGAGGCTCACAGAGACAGTATCTGGACCTGTGCAGTCATTGTCTGGGCCTGGGGCAGGACACCCCAAAATATTGAACAATGGCATATTGATGACTTTGAATCAAAGTTACTTGACAAGCAAGTGGTACAAGAAAGGTACACTGACCCACACTTATCTCCTTGAATGAAGAAAATAAATCTCCCATGGGAAAGTACCCTCCTTGTACCAGGTTGTAAAGAGACATTCTTATCACCACAGATAAAGAATTCTGGGGGAAAAAGCTTTCATAAACAAACCTTGCTACTCCTTTACTAATTCACTATCCAAATCCAAACTTGTTTAGATTCCTCGGTAATGAACACCAAAACTTAAATGTCTTTTTGCTGTCATTTCTTCACCAACTTATTGATTCTTTGTCCAACAAGTACAAAAAGCTGTCAGGTTCATCATTTCTGGAAGCATCATTCATGATTCTCTTGTGTGCATGTATAAAAATTGGTATTGCTCCTGTTAATCTGATCTTACATAAATTTTATTGTAAGTCTAGCATA